GCCTCCCCCCCCCCCCCCCCCCCCAATCCTTTTTGTAGAATTGCTTGACGTGATTACAGATAAGTGACTGAAGTTTACTGCTCATCCAAAATACATGCAAATGTGTCTCTTCCTGAATTCCATAGACTGTCAGTTGCAGTGACAGTTACTCTCTTCATGCTTTTGGGTGGTTTGGGAGAGCATTCTTTTGAGACAGGAGATAAGTATATCCTCCCCAGTTATTGGGAGACCCAGAGACATTCGTCTGTAAAATAACATTGTAGATTAGCAGGCTGTAGATCAGTTGCAAAAGGCTGTATGAGTTAATGTCACTGGTATCAGTAGGGCCTGTAAGTGAAGGACATTTTTCTTAAGGATTGGAATGAATGTCATGCTACTGACGTGCTTCTGATGCTGGGAAAAAGGAGTAAGTGCTCTGGGTGTGCTGTTAGGATCGCTGACTAGCTTAAGAAGTCTTGTATTTTCTATGCATTCACTTGATTATAGCTAAAATGCTTTTCTATGTGTGTGTTCCCCTTCTGCCAAAGGGAACCAGTGAAAAAGACCGTCCCTGTGAAACCTGTGGAAAAAATCTGGCTGATTGCTTAGGACATTATGGGTACATTGACTTAGAACTGCCCTGTTTTCACGTTGGGTATTTCAAGGCTGTGATAGGCATCTTACAGGTAAATTATTACAGTTATGATTTGTCATCAGTTTCTAGTCTAGAAAAATGAAATTATTGGTAAAGATGATGCTTGAAAGAGTAATTGAGAAGACCTATAATACAACCTACTTAGGTTGTATTATAAATAAGGTTGTATTATAAATTTTATCTTTATGCATCTTGTGTTTTGTAAAAAAAAAATGTATTTAAATACTAGTCCTAGTGATGTAAATACATCTGTTATATTTTAGGTAATCTCAGACTGACTAATTTAATCCATTATTTTTCTGTAGTAGTTTGAATTAAATGTATACAATGTAACTTGCCTTTTAGGACATCCCAGTAAATCAAAACTCTGTTTGCTTTATATGGATCTTTAAGATCCTGCAGAGCTTAGAAAAGTATTTGCCTCATTGACTATTTTTTTGGTGTACTTTTTTTTGTGTATTACAGCATATGAATTGGTCTTTCAACCAAGACCACCGTATTTCATTCAAAAAGACTGCATTCTGTTGAAGAACTTAAGTTATAGTAGAAGATGTTACATATCTGAATGTGTCTGTTAAACAGTTGTGTTAATATGTGTTTACACTTAAGATGATCTGCAAAACCTGTTGCTGTATCATGCTGTCAGTGGAAGAAAAAAAACAATTTTTTGATTACCTGAAGCGACCTGGCCTTACATATCTTCAGAAGAGAGGACTAAAAAAGAAAGTGTCTGAAAAGTGCCGAAAGAAAAACACTTGTCCTTACTGTGGTGCCTTTAATGGTGAGTGTTGACATTAGCAGTTAGTGATAGTTATCTACTGTGATGGTTTTTACCTTGGCGGCTGTGATAGGCATCAAAATCTTGAATATCCTTGTTAGTTCCACAGCTAATGGATATTTTACCTGGCCCTTATTAAGAATCTGGTAATTGCATTCTTGATGCCGAGCACATGCTTGTTCACATTTCATTTATGTGGATATAGACATTGTCCTAGTTGCTTCTTTTGTTTAATGTGATATCTCTTCATGGCGGTAACCAATATTTGATACTTCAATAATAGCATTAAAAACCCTGCTTAACATGTTTTTAAAAATATTGGGAGCTATTGTCAGTGATCAATACCTTAACATAGAAGCATTCGTAGACTTTGTAATTTTGATTGAACTTCATTTTTTGTCATTGTATTAAATTATCTTTCTTAACATTAGATGTGCTTGTCGTCATCTAGGAGGGTATGTTCTGCAGTTTGGCAGTATTTGAGCTGTGATGATCTTGGGTTACACTGGAATTTGTTCTTCAGGGCAGAGTATCTTAATAAGATTTCACATTTGGTTTTCAAAATGCGTTGTTTTGGTTTTTTTTCTTCATGTACACTGATCAAGTGATACTGCTGTTAAAGGACTTGCAGTGCTACAGATTCATAGTGGATGGCTAATTCATAACTTCAAACTATGTTTTTAGATCTTGAAAATTGTGGGTTGTTTGTAATGATCAACAGCCTGAATAAATAGAGAGCTGCTTCATTGTAAGTGCCACATACACACATAGGGAGCACAAACAATAGGCATTTACAAAATTAAGTGGTAGGTCAGCATACTTCAGTAAAAATAATTGAGTTGGAAGGCACTTGTACTAGTCTGTGGAAGTTTTATGAATAATGTTACCTGCAAAACATGAGAATATTGCTCAGATTTTTCTTATAATTCACTTCCAAAATTATTTTAGAAGATGGTGGGATGATATATAAATGGCACATCTTAGTCCCATTTTTAGTGTGGGAACTTCTACTTAAAAAAATCTGTTGTGACTGAGGTGAAGCGGATTTAAAGTGTGGGCTAAACTACCTGCTTTCAGCTTCAGAATCCACACCATGATCTAGGCACACCAAGGCAGCCATACAAGGAGACATGACCTTGTTATCCTCTTCTTGTTTAATGAATTTAGGAAACTGGTTAATAAAGCTGATAAAGTTTTATTTTATTCTTGTGTTCACTGAAGGCTTAACTAGTTTTGGAACTCTAGCTTACTCATTTTAAGTTTTGGGGTTTGGGGGTTTTTTTGGTGGTTTTTTTGTTTTTAAAAAAACCAAACCAACCAAAACAACCCACACTTATTTGCTTGCAGGAACCGTGAAGAAGTGTGGTTTGTTGAAAATAATACATGAAAAGTATAAGACCAATAAGAAAGTCGTAGATCCAGTAGTATCTACTTTTCTCCAGTCCTTTGAAACTGCCATAGAACATAACAAAGAAGTAGAACCCTTACTGGGAAGAGCTCAGGTGAATTTTATTATGACTTAAATTTGCTGCTAGTTGTTGTGTGTGAAATAAAACTCCTCAAAGGTTTTCCATGTAGCAGCTTAAGCCTTGTGGGTTGTCCAAGATTTTCATATACCAAAAGACACTTGAAGAATGTTTGTATTTATTGCAATAATGCTGACTTTGCTAAAATGAGAAATTTAGTTCATTGGTATGTTCTGATACATAGCTTTCTGTCTGTAAAGAAGAGGAATGTTCTTGGTGTGTTATACTTCCGTAAGCTAGAAAAGGGAGAAGAAATATAGGCCCATATAAACTCTGCGTGTACATTTACTGTAACTCCGAGTTTATTACAATACACAGAATTTTTTTTTTCTTCAGAAGAACTTGAGAAGGAGAGGGGAGACTTAATTATCTAACCTTTTTGTTTCGCTCAGCTTTGCACTGTGTGCAGTTTTGTTTCCTTCTGCTCTTTGCAAGCTGGGAAGACCTCAGGGTACATATTTGGACAGAAAAAGTAGTGGATATCTGGAGTTGCTTATACTACAGCAACAGCTGTACTAAAGAGAGAAATGAAGTTTTGAAAAATAGTCTAGAAAATACTGTGATTCATTAGAGTTTCTACTAATAAAATGAATACAATGTACTGTAAGTTTGTTGTAAGAGGTTTGAGTTGCTTTGTCAAATAACGATGAAATACTCTCAGTTAACTCTTTAGAAGAGAGAGTAACATGATAAGTAAACACTAATGTAAAAGGAAAAAAAGGAAGGAAAGAATATAGCAAGTTAGTATCTGAGACTAAAAGCATTGGTTCCGAATAAATAAACCAAAACATAGTTTTGTTTGCATGAATAGTTCTTCTCTATTTGCCTTTTTAAAATACTTTGTTTTTTGAACAATCAATAAATGAGGGGAGGAGGGAAGCATTGAAACTGTTACGTGATGGCTTGTTCTCCTCATTCTCCAATGGATTTTGTAGGAAAACTTGAATCCTTTGGTAGTATTGAACCTCTTTAAAAGAATCCCAGCAGAAGACATCCCTCTGCTTCTGATGAACCCAGAAGCAGGTAAACCTTCAGATTTGATCCTCACACGACTCTTGGTGCCTCCACTGTGTATCAGACCCTCCGTTGTGAGTGACTTGAAATCTGGCACCAACGAAGATGACTTGACAATGAAACTGACAGAGATAATTTTCCTCAATGATGTAATAAAAAAGGTGAGTCATCCTTCAAGCTCTCAGAGACTGTTGCCTTCGAAAAGATTTGGTTAGAATTGAATACAGCAAGTGGTTTTACTTGTCTTACTGCTTACAATCTAGCAAGCAGTCTGTACTGTACTGGTATGTCGTTTGGCATTTTGTTAACAGAAATAGAGAAACCTGCTTCAAATAGAGCTGGCTGACTGGCTGTTTGCAGTGTAGGACCTACTGAAGATCTGGTAGTGGATCATGGGAAATGTTTTTTCTTTTGAGTTCTGGTCTGTAAACTCTTCTTTTTTCTCACACGTTGTCTTTCTTGCGTGCTTTCTTTCTCTTTTTTCCCCTCCCGTGACTTATGACACTTTTTGAAGGGTCACTTACAATGAAAACATTATACCTATTGGTCTTGGGGTTTTTTTTCCCCATGTAGACCTTCCTCTTTTTTTTTTTTTTTTACTACATCTTTGACCTTTCTTTATTCCAGTATCTGTTCTTAAGAAATCAGGTCTCAGTTAGCATGGTTATCAAATTAAGACTAGAAGTAAATTTGACAATTTATCATTTGTTTAGAAGAACAGTTCTACCAGACTAATATTTTCAGGCTTTTCAAAAGTGGTCTTTTGTCAGGCAAACAAAATCAAGTGAGCACTATTAACTACTGGTGATTTTCCTGGCTGTGAAGTTATATTATCTTAACTTCAGTGGCTTGGGAAAAATAGAATTTAAAAATATACATAGTTTTGTGAGCATTTGTCCAAAGCAGATGTTAGTCAAAAGAAATTTTTTGCTGGGTTCTCTTGTGAAAGGCCTTATGTTATAGCAATATGCATCCTGTTATAAAATTATCTCACCTTTTTCATTCCAACGTATGAAAGTTTTTTTAACATTATTTTTGAAAGAATCCTAGAATGGTTTGGGTTGGAAAGATCATCTTAAAGATCATCTAGTTCCAACCCCCCTGCCATGGCCAGGGACACCTTCCACTAGACCAGGTTGCTCAAAGCCCCATCCAGCCTGGCCTTGAACACTTCCAGGGATGGGGCATCTACAGCTTCTCTGGGCAACCTGTTCCAGTGCCTCACCACCCTTACAGTAAGGAATTTTTTCCTAATATCTAATCTAAATCTATCCTGTTGCAGTTTAAAACCATTATTCGTCATCCTGTCACTATACTTACTCCCTGTTAAAGAGTCCTTCCCCATCTTTCCTGTAGGTCCCCTTTAAGTACTGGAAGGCTGCTATAAGCTCTCCCCAGAGCCTTCTCTTCTCCAGGCTGAAGAACCTCAACTCTCTCAGCCTGTCCTCACAGAGGAGGTGCTCCAGCCCCCTGATCACCTTCATGGCCCTCCTCTGGACCTGCTTGAGCAAGTCCATGTCCATGTCTTTCTTATGTTGGGGGTCCCAGAGCTGAAGGCAGTACTCCAGGTGGGGTCTCCCAACAGTGGAGTAGAGGGACAGAATCACCTCCCTCAACCTGCTGGCTACACTTCTTTTGATGCAGCCCAGGATGCAATTGGCTTTTGGGGCTGTGAGTGCACACTGCTGGCTCACGTCCAGCTTCTCATCAACCAACACCCCTAAGTTCTTCTCCACAGGGCTGCTCTCAATCCACTCATTGCCCAGCCTGTATTTGTGTTTGGGATTACTTCGACCCATGTACAGGACCTTGCACTTGGCATTGTTGAACTTCATGAGGTTCACATGGGCCCACCTCTCAAGCCTGTCAAGGTCCCTCTGGATGGCATCCCTTCCCTCCAGTGTGTCAACTACACCACACAGCTTGGTGTCATCGGAAAACTTGCTGAGGGTGCACTCATATGATACGATATGAGTTGTACTCGTATCGGAAAAATTCTTTGCTGGTTTGATATGTGTTATTATATTTATTTTCTGAACTGGATAACTATTTTCTTTAGCATAGGATATCAGGAGCCAAAACACAGATGATTATGGAAGACTGGGATTTTCTTCAACTGCAGTGTGCCCTGTACATTAATAGTGAGCTCTCAGGAATTCCTCTCAACATGGCACCTAAAAAATGGACCAGAGGTTTTGTTCAGAGACTTAAGGGAAAGCAAGGTTTGTCTAGAAAGTTGTTTTTAACCTTTTTTTTTTTTTCAATTAAACCACAAATACTTGCTATTCTAAAGCGTATATCTGCTACTATTGTGTTGCACTTCAGTGATGTACTGTGAAAGGTGTTCTAATATGCTGTCTTAACAGATAACATTTTGAAAACAATTTTTTATAAAAGTTTTCACTTGCTTATTTTGTTAGGTCGGTTTCGAGGCAATCTGTCTGGAAAGCGAGTGGATTTCTCTGGCAGAACAGTCATTTCACCTGATCCAAATTTAAGAATAGATGAAGTAGCAGTGCCTATTCATGTTGCTAAAATACTAACCTTTCCTGAAAAGGTAGGTAGTGTAGAACCAAAACTTTTTCTATGCCTTTTTTTTTTTTTCACCAGACCTCAGTGTTGTCCACCTTTATAACCTTGCTGTAAAAGGGAGTGAATGTATTGCTTTATGTTCAAAATATCATTCAGTGATGCTTTGCCAGTTTCGTTGCTGCTGGTAAATGAAGGTTGTAGTAGCAGATATATGCAAGTCCTTTGTCCTGGTTTCAGTTGGAACAGAGTTAATTTTCTTTCTAGTAACTGGTATAGTGTTATGTTCTGGGTTCAGTATGAGAAGAATGTTGATTACACACTGATGTTTTCAGTTGTTGCTAAGTAGTGTTTAGACTAAGTCAAGGATTTTTCAGCTTCTCATGCCCAGCCAGCAAGAAGACTGGAGGGGCACAAGAAGTTAGGAGGGGACACAGCCAGGGTAGCTGACCCCAACTAGCCAAAGAGATTCCATTCCATGTGATGTCATGCCCAGTATATAAACTGGGGGCAGTTGGCCTGGGGAGGGATCGCTGCTCAGGAACTAATTGGGCATTGTTTGGCAAGTGGTGAGCAATTGCATTGTGCATCACTTGTTTTGTATATTCCAATTCTTCTATTACTCTTATCGTCATATTATTATTATTATTTTCCTTTCCTTTCTGTTAAGCTGTTCTTACCTCAGCCCTTGAGTTTTACTTTTTTTCCCCCTGATTCTCTCCCCTGTCCCACTGTGGGGGGTGGGGAAGTGAGTGGGCGGCTGCGTGGTGCTTAGTTGCTGGCTGGGGTTAAACCATGGCATACTGTGAAGGCATATGGTGTAAGGAGTGACTTATCAAGGGAGAAGAGTTTTGCTTGATATTTTTTGAACTCATACATAGCTTCATATGTTTGCTGGTATATCTGTCTAAGGAGTGGTTGGGTATTTTTATTTCTGAATTTACTTCCCAGATTTTTAATTTAATTTCATTCTGATGTTCTGATCTAAGATTGGCTTACATTTTTCTCCTCTATTCCCTCCTGCCTGTTCCCTTCAGCAGCTGGAGGCTGTGAGGGGGTTTGTCAGTTGAACCTAAAATTTGAAAACATAAAAGCCACCAGCAAAAAGAAGAAGTCCTGAAACACATGTTTCATTTGTTTCTGATTGAAGTGTTTATGCAACAGGTGAACAAAGCAAATATTAATTTTATGAGGAAACTTGTCCGTAATGGTCCTGATGTTCATCCTGGAGCCAACTTCATACAGCAAAGGCACACACAGATGAAAAGGTATCATGCTTATCTGTAATGATTCACTCTTTATTTCTCCCCATCAACTTGCTCTTACTGCTGTGTGAAAACAGATACACAGGGATTAAAATTTATTTTTAGAATCTTTCATAAAGGGCAGTAACAAAAAAATGGTCATTATCTCTTGGGGTTTAGTCTACAATTTCTTTTTAGGTAATTTGTGGGATTTAAACTTAAGTGTACATACTAATGATAGTGAACTGCAGTTAGGTTTTTGTTTTGGTTTATGACTGAGTCTCTTTTATTTGAAATAGGTGGTGTAGTACAGAGATAAATGAAAACAGGCAGCTTTGTTAATAGCAGCAGGACTGATGCAATCCACACCAGTTTTGTCTTCTATTTATTGTAATACAAATACTGGAACATTTAATGGAAGAACTTGCATTATAAACAGAATTTATTTTCAGTTGTGTGAACATGTTTCTGACTTTGTTTCTTCTGACTCTATTTGTTATGTGGTACTGTAAGATTTTTGAAATACGGAAACCGAGAAAAGATGGCCCAGGAGTTGAAGTTTGGTGATATCGTGGAGCGACATCTTATAGATGGTGACATAGTCCTGTTCAACCGTCAACCCTCTCTTCATAAACTGAGCATCATGGCTCACATTGTAAGTGCACACACAGCCTAACATACAGGTAGTGCATCCCTGAATATTAGGTGGTTTACCTTTACTGATGTTTATCTCTTACATGCCCAAAAATAAACAGCTTTTGAAACACTGCATGGAGATGAGCATGAATACAGTGGAGTTGTGCTTTTGCATGGGAATTGATGTATAACGGGGCAGTATGCTGTCTGGACAATTCTGTTAATAGCCGTAATTGACCTCAGTATCTGTTCTTGCGTAAGCATTTAATTTTTGTAGAGTTGATGTCATCTCTACAAAGTATGTTGTGTTCTGTGCCTTGTATAAATTCTTCATAGTGAAAGTTATTAGCTACATTTGTATAACATAACCTGAGTACAATTTCTGTCAGTTCCTGGTTGAGTTAAGTCCTATAATCAGAAGTTTTGACTCATGTCTGCAATAAAAAGAAAAGATAAAGCCTACAAGGAAGCACTCAGGCATAGCTTTTCATCTTTTAGCACGCTTGACTGCATGTGCATCACTTTTTTTTTTTTCTCCAGGCTAGAGTAAAACCTCATAGGACATTCAGATTTAATGAATGTGTCTGTACACCATACAATGCAGACTTTGATGGAGATGAGATGAACCTTCACCTTCCTCAGACAGAAGAAGCAAAAGCAGAAGCACTTGTTTTAATGGGGGTAGGTAGATAATGTTGGGGTTGGGATTTTGCTAGTGACAGGTGGGCTGAACCCTGTATTTCTTAACTTGCATGTGAAATCTGAAATATTATCAAGATTCCTGGGTATGGATAATGTGTGACTGTGAAGCTGCCTGAAAACTCTGCAAAATGGAACTTAGAATAAATTAGGACTGTTATGCAATAGAAGTCTAATAGACTTATATTTAGCATCTGAGGAAAACTCAATGGTTTTAAGTAAGTAGATGTCATTAGTATGTTTCTGCCTGACTGTCCTTAGTGATTGCTACCAAAATAGGATGGGATGGCTCCGTTACCAAACAGGTACATACTTTGCTCCTGGTCTGACAGCCCAGCAATTGCAGATGGTCAGACCAACTGGAAATGAGACGGTGATAATGTGCTTGTACTGCAGTAGGCTCTTAGGGCAGGGAAAAAAGAGGGAAGGGAAGGTAGATAAAGAGGGATCTGATGGTTGCAGGCATTGATCTGTGGTGTGAAAGTAGAATCAGTAGCATCAATCCGAGGATTTTCCAGTACATCGCTCCTTTAGGGTGACTGAATGCCACTGCTACTTCAGATGTACCAACACAGCTGTTGGCTGCAGCATGTATTGGCTTGCGGAACTGATTTGCGAGCTTAAAGAACCTTTCCCCCCCACCACGCCAGTGCATGCTTTAGGTTTGTGTGGGCCTGTGAACAGTTCAGGCAAAACTCTGCTGCATAGGTGGGGGTGATTAACTGGAGCAGTGGTCTGAATAAGACATAAGAAGATGGGGCTAGTGGAAGTGGCTAGCTTGATTATTACGTATCAGTAGGGTCACACAACTTGAAGAATTTCACTAGCTCCCTGCAGTGAGCGTAACCTCTTTTGTCCCTTCTCAGGTTCTCAAAGCTAGCTTGTCTTCCCTTCCCTGTCCTGTTCAAACAGTAACCTACCAAACACATCAAGCTGATTGCAGCTTCTGCTTTGGAAACAGAATATGTAATTTTCAATAACTGTTCTCAGTTTATTCCTTAACTGTCAATAGACTTGCATGGACTGTAGTGAACTGAAACATCTAGTTTGTTTTTTCAATCTCTTTGAAGAAAGCTGTACTTTGATTTAGAATAAGCTTTTACCAAAATAACTGCCTTAAATGGTAAGTTTCCTTCTGAGTGACAAATGGAGTATCAGTGTCTTCAAATGTGTAATTTTTTTTGTTTCTTGTATCATATAGACTAAAGCAAACTTGGTAACACCAAGAAATGGAGAACCCCTTATCGCTGCTATTCAAGATTTCCTCACAGGTGTGTGTATATAAGCTTATTTTATTGCTGTGCAATTTGACAGTTGTTTCTTCAGAATCACTTCCCACTTTTCCAGAATTTTTCTATATGAATTAAAAATTTCTCCTTTCACAAGTCAAACTGACATTATGAAAGTAAGGCCATTGTTAGTCTGAAATATAATGATGTCCTCAGAATCTCTTCTGATACTGTCTACCTTTGTAGCTGCAATTACTATTAACTCTGCCTATGTTTTGCAGTGTTTCTCTGACAGAGAAAATGAATATTTGGGTTCTTTGTATGCGTTAGGTAGACAACATGAAAACTGCTTATGATTATGGTAGAGGAATTGAATTCATTGGTCAAAAATTAGTTTTAATCTGCAGTAAGTAGCTTCAAGTTTCGTTAGTTCTTTGGGAAGTGTCCAATGAATATAAGGAAGGTGTACAAAAATTAATGCCAAAGCCTTATTTTAACCTGTGAGATAGAGTCTGAGAGAGAGAATAGATTATAGAAATACACTGGTTGTAATTTTTAGAAATTTGAGTATGGAGCAATTGTAAATCCTTCCCAGAACTTTTTTTTAACTGAAGCTGTCTGAACTACTGTCATTTTGCATAGTAAGTAGGTAACTAGTATTAGAATGAAATCATTGATACTGAATATACAATAGCTTTTGAACTTAATCTCATTTTAGTCTGTCATGTTAATTTTTTACATTCTAGGTGCCTATCTTCTTACATTAAAAGATACCTTTTTTGATCGAGCCAAAGCCTGTCAAATTATTGCTTCTATCCTGGTTGGCAAGGATGAAAAGATTAAAGTTCATCTTCCACCTCCAGCAATTCTGAAGGTGTGTCAAACTCTTTTTTTTTTAATGTTGACCCATGGTGACGTTCTCAGCAGAGACAGTTCTTGTTTTCTCTGACATTAGTTTTGTATGAGATTTTGTATTTGTAAAGTGCAAGGATCAGAATTCAGGGCCAAAGCTATGCAGGAGTTTTTTTGATGGTTCCTGATGCTGAACAGAATCGACCTTGCATGGTGCTGTCCAGATGCAGGGTTCCTTCAGGGTTCAAACATAGCTTTGCTATTATCCTGCTACTCTGAGACAGACCACTTGGCTGTTAGTGGTCAGTAGAAGATAGGTTGTTCTTGGTAACCTCACTGTTACTAGCTGTGCAGACTAATATGGGGCTAAGTGAAGAAACTATGTTACTCCTTGGGTGTTCTCAAGTAGTGTCCTGAAATGCTCAACAGTTCTAGGTTTCAGTATCCCAAATTTAGGAGATGTTAAACCTGTGAAATAGTGTGCTTTAGTTGTTAACCTGGCAATGTGTTAAAGAGGATGAGTGCTATGTGGTTTTTGGTTTGTTGGTTTTTTTTTTGGTTGGTTTTTCGTTTGTTACTTCATGTACACAAAATACTTATTACAAAGGACAGAGTATTTGTGTATTTGTCATAAACTTTGAAGAGAGCTATAGTATCATTTATTAGATTAGGGTCTGTTAAGCCTTCATTCACATACATTTATGGGTGCCTGTATTTGATTAATTTTGTACTTGAGGCAAACAGTATTGTTTGGAGAGAGTTTGCTACACTTTTAAATTTGTTAAATACTTACTAAGTATTGGTGTATACTTTTTTTTTAACACCTTTTATTTAATTTCAAAATAATAAGTGTAATATTAGGGAAATTCAGAAAGTGAAATTGAAATACTAGTGAATAATACTAATATAAAACAAGTTCAGAGAATTTATGGGCAGTATCTAATAGCTAATAGCCAAGAGCAGTGATTCTTTGACTGCATCTATCACTCCAAATGAATAATTTTGGTGGTAGCTGTGACAGTTATTTACATTTAACTACAGCTGAGGGGAGTACATAATTATATGAATGTTTAACTTCCTAAAAATTTAAACCAAAGGCACTATATAAAGAAGGAATTATAAATGTTGCAACCTCTTTGAGAAATGAAATGACAACAGTGGCATCTTTTTTTTTTCTTTCATTTTCTAATCAGAAAGGGAAACATGACAGTAAGAGGGAGCAATAGAAGATGTTTCTCGAAATGCATGCACCTACCCTTATGTAAAGGATAACCATTCAGCAGTCAGTGTTCTTCTATTTATAAAAGTGCATAATACTTCCAAATTCAAAGGAATGCTGCTATGCACTTCTACAACTATAGTTTTACAAGTATAGAAAGGTTCTGTATAGAAAACAATTTTACAATTAAATTCTTGCTTGCTGTTTTACTGTAGTTGTAGCATAAACTCTGTAATCCTAATTCTTGTCCTTTTTTTTTCTCTAAGCCTGTAACACTCTGGACAGGAAAACAGGTTTTCAGCCTCATTCTCAAACCCAGTGATGACTGTCCTGTAAAAGCCAACCTACGAACCAAGGGCAAGCAGTATTGTGGCAAAGGGGAAGACCTGTGTTACAATGATTCTTGTAAGTGATGCTTCTACAGCTGTGTTTTGGAAGTCTTCAGAGAAATTGTAGCTATTGTTTTGTTGAGTTTGTTGCTGTTGAGCTCACTGTAGGAGTTAAAGCAGTAATTCACATAGGTATTCTTGAAATGAAAAACAAAACTACGCAGTTTTTCTCAAAAGTAGAAGTCAGGCTGAACACCAAAGGAAAGACTTGGGTGTTCTCCTGTAATAAAATTTCTTTTGCGTGATGCTAGGCTTGTTGTGATACTAACATAGTATTTGAAGGTGAGAGAGAGATAAAAGCAAAGAAACTTAGGAAGTGGTTGTGCAGAGGGCAAATGGAAAAATTTAGTATCTTAAGTCAGAGTAGTGATACAGGGATTAGAAGTTAAGCAGTGAAAGGAGTTAGGATACGTAGGGAAGATAGGAATCCCTACGATATTAAACCATCTGTATCCTTCGAGTTAGGGAGGTCAGAGTGGTGGATGGAATGCAAAGCATCAGGATTGAAAAGGCTGTAGGAGATGAGCAAGGCTTTGCTTGCTGTTAATTTAACATTCATGTGGTAACAGCTGGAAAAGAACTTCAGCAGGCAGGATTAGCTTGGTTCCTTGCTGCTCAGAGGTGTGATTTAAGGAACCTAGTGAGGAACCATTGATTTCCAGTAATTCTGTCGTGCAGTGCTGATGGGAGAAAGAATTTACCAGTTGGGACTCAAATCCGCTCTACACCAGCCTCTGAGCGATTTCTTTAGAAGATAGGACCACTCAGTGCTTGTGAGGTTGGTTATAAACACGGCGGCACAATTTTTTTTTCAGCCTCTAAGGAATGTGGGGTGAAACGCAACAAAGCAATCTTGTTCACACTCGTGCAAACATAGGCCATCTTCTTTGCTCCGCAGTCTTTTCATTTTAGGAAGTATGGGAAGATTTTCCATTTTCTGAGTTCAACAGTAGCAGATGATGTGGAAAACTTTTGGATTTCATTGGTGGCTATGTTCAGTTCTCTGAAAAAAACTTAATTTCTGAAGCAACACTAATTCTCTTCAGAAAGTTCTTAGCAAATTCTTCAAAGTCTCAAGAAATCCTGGTATCATATTTTGATTGTATATGATAAGTGTTAGAGCAGTGACCTGTGGTTCAAGAAGATGATTACCTAAATTCACATTGAAAATTCTAAGCGTAGAGTACAGTGTGCAAACATCTACAGTGTTCTGCATGAAATGATTTAAATTGGATCCATCTAGATGTGCCAGTTCTTCTTTGAAAGATGCATAATGAAGTTAAGGATGAACATATATTATACTGGTCTCATAGAAAATATGTCTAAAGTTCATGTACAGAAGATACTTTTTAACTGGTTAAAGGCTAAAGCTTGTAAGGAAGATTCAGTGCCTGAAATGGAAGGTTCCTGATGAAGCAAGAGGAAGTAATCTAAAAGAGGTAGTGTGGACAGGCCTACAGGCAAGATGGATGTCGTTATCATATGCATGTAATTAAAGAGACGTCTGAGTCCAGTGTGTCTTTAAATTTAAGCTGTGCCTCCAGAGGTGATTTCAGTTGAACCGAGTATCAGAATCTTTGAATAAGAACTGTAACTTCACTTCTGAAATTTTGTTGATCTACTTTATAAATAAATAAATAACATTGGTTTAATATGCATGATTGAGGACTTTTATTTCTGGACAGATAAGATTGATTGAAGTCTTCTTCCTGATTAATGAAGCTAAATTTATATTTAGATTTTTAACAAAAAGGATTATTCACAATGTTTCTCACAAGTCTTAAACTGGATACAGTTTCCTTTCTAAGAGGTAAGGGAAATCAATTTTAACTTAAGTTAGTAAGGTCAGCTTGTAGGCTGTTCCCCTTGCATACTTACTCATGCAGTTCTACAGATACATTAAATGTCTGTCTTCGGGTTTTGTTCTTTTCATGAACAGAGCTTTTATTTATAAGCCTACTCCATAACTGATTACTAGAGTTTAGGTAATGTTTTAGAAAAACCAATTAATTCTTTTTGCCTTTTTATTTCTAGATGTCACAATTCAAAACAGTGAGTTAATGAGTGGCAGTATGGACAAAGGAACTTTAGGTTCAGGATCCAAGAACAACATCTTCTACATCTTGCTGAGAGACTGGGGACAGGTAGAAGCTGCGGATGCCATGTCACGACTAGCCAGACTTGCTCCCGTCTATCTTTGTAAGTACATTTCCTTGTAAAATAGTATCTCAAAGCAGAAATACAGAGCAATCAAGCAAGATTTTTGCTTCAAATATGATGTACTGTATTTAAAAAAAATAAGCTAGTTGTGAAGCTGACAGAAACTGTGAAACAACTGATTGTGCTTATGAAGTGCTTATGATGGTCATGTGATGGGAGGAAAAGATAAAGTTCCTGATGATAATATTTCCTGGTTTTAATTTGTTTTCTCTATATGAGGTTGAGCTATCAATATAATCTTTTTGTTTTCCCTTTTTTTTTAACAATAGCTAATCGTGGCTTTTCAATTGGAATTGGAGATGTAACCCCGGGGCAGGGCCTGCTGAAAGCGAAGTATGAGCTCCTGAATGCTGGCTATAAGAAATGTGATGAGTATATTGAAGCTCTGAACACTGGCAAGCTACAGCAGCAGCCTGGTTGTACTGCAGAAGAGACACTAGAGGTAAATTTTTTAATTTAAATCACTATGCGGTTGGAGTAGAGACTTCATGAATATATTTATGTAAATTGTGAATTTCTAAGTTGTCCTCTGAAACCTAAAAATACAAGCAAATAGGGTCCTTAGGTATGCAACTTTAGCTGAGTCCATCTAGGCTTAACATTTAGATGCTTGTATGCATCTAAAAATATTAGCTAAATACTAAACAACTGAGATGCTCTCTCCCTCCCTCCTGGCTGGATTTATTGTGGTGACATACAAGAGAATAAAATTACATAGGTAATTGGAACGAGGTTAATTACATTTATCAATATTTGCTAAGTTAATAAAGAACAGTAACAGTAAAGAACCTTACTCAAGAAGCAAAACATGCCTTTAGTTACAGATCTGTTTATATGCAAGTGTTTTCTTGCCCCTTATTGGGGAAGAAGTTAAGTGGACTTTAGTTATGCTGGGTTTTTTCTTTTTTCTGTAGAAATTTCGATGAAGAGCAATGAATGTTGCCCAAAAAAGCTTACAGACAGGGACTTAATGAAGTTAGCTCAAGAACACTCTTCATTGTCTTTTATGGTTTTATACATTTATCTTCTTGGCTAGTCAATGTCTAATTTTTACCTTTAAAAAAAAAGTAGAAAGAAAAAAAGAATAAAAGCAATAACAAACAACCAGAAAACCCCACCCTACAATGAAGTACTGCCACAGTTGTCCAGTTTCACGTGGTACTCTGGCTGAAAGAAGTGTCTTGCAGTCTTTTCCATTCTTCCTCTTTTCAGATGCCTCTGTATGTCCTAGAATGGTTTTTTTTGATACAGTTGTTATGTTCTTAACAATTGGAGATAGCAGCATTGTACTGTCTGAAAGCAGTCCAAAAATACCATTTTTTGTGGTAATCTTTCACATAGTGCAGCAAGACTTAGAGCTTAGTTCAATGCTCAGTTTAGCTTAAGCTAGTGCTGCTGACAAAAGAGGTTGTCATGTCCCTGCCTACCCCTGTCTTATCCCAACAGAGACTTTTTGTGCGGCAGACTGGAAAGTTATGCAAGTTAAAAGTTAAACTTGTTTTACCCAAAGCAAAGTCTAGGTTTCTGTATTGTGAGTTCCCTTTGACTACTGACAGTATTGCTGGCAAGTGATAGGAGTACTATTTGTGTATGGTATTTTTAACAAATGTTGAATCTCTGAAATCTTGGATTTTAGGCCTTAATCCTTAAAGAACTCTCTGTTATCAGAGATCATGCTGGCAGTGCCTGTCTTCGAGAACTGGACAAGAGCAACAGTCCCCTTATCATGGCTCTCTGTGGTTCTAAAGGTAGGGATAGCTAAGCTTTGGCAGTAGATTGCTTGCTCCTTTACTGTTCTCAAAATTACTTGTTCTGTCTTCAAAATAAAATATAGCTTATTTTATACAGTCAGTTGTGCAAGTATTAAATTCACGTCATATAGATTTGAAGTGACTCCTCTCAGTAAGTACAGGTTGGGTATAGGTAATTAAAATCATGATGTGCTAGTTTTTGTATCTTTAAATTTTTCGTACAAATTGAAAAAACATCCTGTTGGAACCTTAGATGTTCTTAAGACTTGAATTAATTAATCAGTAAGAAGTTTTCAGTTGCATTTCTGACTTCAAGTATGTGTATCACATACAAAAATCAGCTGGAAATTATATATTAAGAATTGAACTAATAATTCAGCCATCTTCTCTGCTTTGTTTCTGAAGGACCACCTGTGTAGTAAATATTTGTTTTATACTCAGATTCTTATCTGAGCTTTCCTTTGTTTCCTGTGACAATTTGAAGAAATCACTTAACTCTTTGCCTTTATTTATCTGTCTCTAATAAATTGTGGAAAGCCTCAGCGTGATATTTTGTACTTCTAAAGAAATACTGAACTTTAAGGAGGATATATTAAGTGTATAATTGGGGGGGGGCATTGTTTGCAAACATGTTCAGCAAGTAAAACTTCTGAGTTAGTGACTTAATTCTCTGGACTTAATTTGTTCTAGGAATCTTGGTAGACGCTGAACCCTTCATAAAAAATGGTGTTAAAATATGTTTACTGCAGAAATTTTGAAGCAAAATATGTAGGTTAGGATCATGGGTTGTATATAACACAATCCATAATACGAAACAGGGTAAGGACTGTAGTCAAATAGTAGTGGCATGAATATCTATGACCCAAAGAAAAAAAAACTTAAAAGGAGTTGTTAGCTATATCATAGACTAACTTAGTTGTCAGTCTCTGCATAAATGCTGAAATTTACAGGACAGGTAACAGAAAGCTTCTTTAACTGTTGCAATTCTAAATGCGTTTTTGACAAATTACGAAGCTAAATAATAGGTCTTCATATAAGTGAAGACAGCTCATCAGAGCAGCACTGATATTCCAAATTTGTGAGTGAGATTTTTTTTTTCTTTCTTTCTTTCTTTTCAGGCTCCTTCATTAATATATCTCAGATGATTGCTTGTGTAGGTCAACAGGCTATTAGTGGGTCCCGAGTTCCTGACGGATTTGAGAACAGATCCTTGCCTCACTTTGAGAAGCATTCTAAGGTAATTCTGTATGTTTACAATACACTGTAAAGAAAAGTGAAACAAGTTGCCTTAAACCATTTTGAGAAGGACACATGACAGGATGTGTTGTCATGACATGGTGAAGGAAAAGGACCGCATATGGTACACGTAAAATGTTTTGAATGTGTTTTGGTAGTTAGTGGTGGTATTGTGAATTGCCGTAGGATGTCTAGTTAGCTTGAATTTTTACAGCTAAGCCTTGCTTAGACCTTTCTAATTTGGTAATATTAAGGGAAGTCTGATGATAGATTTTTGGTTCTCTTGAGAGTCCTAAAAATAGTTTGTTAAAGTTTCTCTCTTCGTTCTGTTTCATTGCACTAAGACTTTTCAGGACAACTGCTGGGTGTGTGTTGGTATCTTTAGACAGGCGAAACATGCCAGGTAAACCATTCTGGAGTCTGGTGGGGTTTTTTGTTTTTTTGTTTGTTTTAAATTTTTTCACTAGGATAGATAGATACCACAGGTCACTCTGAACATTCTGTGTTTGAGTTGTGTTCTGCATGAAGCAATAAAGAGTCTCATGCACTTGTTAATACAATTCAGTGAGATTAGGGTTTTTTTTAAACTGCTATCTGAAATCTAATGATTGGTAGAGAATGTTTTAGGTACCAGCCAACAATCTGGTTGGTGTGGTAGGTAACCCAGGTGTGGGATGGTAGCCATGACACTTGCATTTGTCACTAAATGTCCACATTTCAACTTCTGAGTTCTGCAATGTGAAATCTTTTCTTTCCTGAATAAATTAAAGAAGAAAAAATACTTCATGGATTAGATGAGAAGGAAAAAGTTAAATTTTAACTATTGCTTTTTTACTGAAGTGCAAAGGACTACCTGTTAAATAACAGCAAAAAGTGAGCTTCTAAGATGAAGCTCTTTGTAGGCTATACATTGTTATGTGTGATCATGGAGACAGTTTGGTGTTACTTGACTTAAAGGGATGTCTGCATAAAGTTCGTTGGCAAGAACTCTTCTCAGAGGTGTGAGCAAACCATTTGAAAGAATTAGTTATATACATAGATCCAGTCATATTTTTTCTGGATTCCTTAGTCTTCAGCACTGCAAATACCTTTGTTATACTATTGCAAAATGAACGTTCTTATCACCCTTTCAATTTTTGCAACTTTAAGGGAGGCCAAAGTGTTAGAAGTTGGTGTAGTGTTTGCAAGGAATGGCTAGAAGCATGACAAGGCTTGTAGGTGGAGAAAGAAAGTCTATTAGATTAGTTTGAAAGAACTAGGCAAGGGTTTTGAAGCCTTTGTTCAGAACTAAAATACAAACATTGAACTTCAAAGATAAATGCAGCTGAGACGACTGCTCTATGTTTGTGTATGTATTGGCTAACTATCTGAAAGAATTTAGATGACATACAATGTGTTTTTCTGTAACATGCATACAGAATGTGTATTGAATTTTAACCTTTTTTTCCTTGCTCTTCTCTGTAGCTCCCAGCAGCAAAAGGCTTTGTTGCTAATAGCTTTTATTCTGGGTTGACCCCCACTGAATTTTTTTTTCATACAATGGCTGGTCGAGAAGGTCTGGTTGACACAGCTGTAAAGACAGCTGAAACTGGATATATGCAGGTAACTGTCAGTGGAGTAGGGTATTTATCAACTGTGCAAAAGGAGGATATTTCTTATATGCATGTTGAGGTGAGGGATGGGGGAGAAGTGCATACATTATGTATGTGTGTGTTTGTTCTGAATGTAATGGAGAGTAATTTATACTGTGAAATACATGACTTTGCTCCAGTAGACGAGGTTTGTAAACCAGACCTCAGGCAATGGTACAGTAACATGCTTGTATTAAGCTGTTTCCTCTTGAATATGGGTGATAAAAGCCCTTGTCCTATGGAATTACTGAGGACTACTTTCTATGTAGTGTGTGTTCTAAAAGCCCATGTGAATGATGGAAGTTTTGTCCATACATTATAATAAAGATTTGAGTTGTGAGTGCTTTTTCAGACACGGTATTTCAACAATGAGAAACAGAAAACACAAATCCTTGGTTTGGGTTATTTTAAAAAAAAGATTATCTGGATGGCAGAAATATGGTTAAAACTCCCTTTCAGTATCTGTCCTCTTTAGGTAACAGGCACCTTGGCTATATAGACTTGGACTTCAAGTTCCATAAGATCTTTGGCTTTATCTCCTGTGAAAACAAATGTCTCTCCAACAAAGCTTCTTGCTATATGAGCAGTTTTAAGACTTCAGTGAAGTATTTAAGTAGTATTTTAAGTATAGTCATCTTCCTAGTGTAACAGGCAGGAGAAAAGCCAAGATAACCTGGGGCTAGGGACACGTTCAGAGATATGCAAGTAACTCTACAAAGACTAAAATCAATTCCTGTCGGGGTGGGTGACTAATTAGACTATTTGTCTCCCAAAGTAACAGAATAATGTTTGTATGTGTGTGAGTACATACAAACATACGTAAATATAATAAGCACCTCCAAAATATTTTCACTCATCAACTTTAAGCCTACGTGAATAAATTGTAGCACTTGGACTTCGGAATTTAAAATAAATAAAAATCTTAACACTTCTTTCATCTTACCTTTTTCTTCCTCAGTAAAAAAAAATTACCAATTGATATTCTTTAGTGAGCTAATTTACTTTCATATAACAATGAAGTCCATCTTTCAAGTAAAAACCTTTTTAACCATTAATGCTTCATAGCATGCCATCTTTTTGGGGAGACAGAGGAAGGAAGATGGTAGTAAAGGGATTTCCCAACACAATGAATTAATGTAAGAGAAGTAGCTAGCACTGGTAGAAAAATAGCATCTACTGGCTTTGATGGATGAGCTCTTTGGTTTTTGTCAGTGAAAATAATTGTTGACTGGTTTTGCTTCCATATGCAAAAAGTGTTGTATCCCTTGAGAAATAAACCTGCTTGGAAGAATATGAATGTTCTGTTTAAAAAGAACCCCGAATTCCTCAGACTATAATAGGTTCTTGCAGGTTACCGTTAGGTTTCCTATATGATGGAATTTCTAAACGTAGAGAATTGTGTTGTTGCTTTTAAATTTTATTATTGTTGGCTTTCATGTTCTGGGGAATGTACAGTAAAGCCCTGGGGATAATGTATGACTTAAAATAGGTTTTCATGCCTGCTAATCACTGTGTCAGATTTATTTCCTCAGTCCAGTTTCTATACTTTTTGTAATTCAAATCAATAGCTATTTTTAAAAAGATCCCATTTACTTTCCTTGTGGCTTTCCCCCCCCCTTCAGAGGCGGCTGGTAAAATCACTTGAAGATCTTTGCTCACAGTATGATTTGACAGTTAGAAGTTCTACTGGTGACATTATACAGTTTATTTATGGAGGAGATGGCTTGGATCCTGCAGCCATGGAAGGGAAGGATGAACCACTGGAATTCAAGCGAGTTCTAGACAATATCAGAGTAAGGATTACTGAAATCTTTGTTGGAAGTGTGAAAAGACTATTGAGCATGTAGGAGGAAGTAATAAATTATGGGGATAATTGTTGAAGAATTTATTTTTAAATTACCTTTTTGAGTGGTCCTGGTCATTCTTTCAGCATGTGTATGCTAAGAGTTATAGATACTGTTGACATTAGAACAGAGCAACTAGGACTAAACTGTGTATAAGCTGTGTAAAATAGAACTTTCTTCTGTGCTTACATAGTTCTAGGGCCTAATACCCAGCTCACTAGATAAATTACTCCTGGCTTAGTTGGGTCCTAGATTGGACTTGTATTACACAAAGTAATTCCTTATTAAATCAAGACATGCACGTTCTTTCTTGCTGCTTAGGTCAGAGGCCTGGTGTGTTGTTGAATAACTCTGGACATACTGTGATGTTTGAAGAATGGTATTGTTTGGTTTGGTTTTGTGGGGGGTTTTGTTGCTTTTTCTCCCTGTCCCGCCCCGGCCCCCAAAGATAAAAGCCTTTTCCTGAAATGACTGTTCAGATTTCTGTACTGTGAGTATAATAAATTGATAGAATTAGAAATGTGTGTGTATACTGTGCATATGTTTTATGTGAAAAGTATTTTTTTTTTACTCTGAAGGCTGTATATCCATGCCGAAGTGAACCAGCCCTTAGTAAAAATGAATTGGTGTTAACATCTGAGTCCATCATGAAGAAGAGTGAATTTCTTTGCTGCCGAGACAGTTTTCTGCAGGTAATTGTCTCACTTTCTTATCACATTGTGATTAACTTTTCCTTGTAAATCAAGGAAACTAAATAAAATGGTCTTATCAATCTGTAGGAGCAATGGCTGAATTTTATGCATTAGTAGCAGGAATAGTAGTTTGTTCAGTAATATATTTCTGTACATTTAGGGGGCAGGACAGGAGGACTAGTAATTTTAATTCTTATTATGGTAGTTGTTCATGTTCACCACAGGAGCTTTAGAAATGAGAGAAGAATCTAGTGATCTTTGAGTAGAAGGTGCTGCTGATCTGAGATATCTTGCTGGAATTTCTCTCCATAGCAAGATGGTAGAGTAATTATGTGCTTCCCCTGGGATGTCAGAAATGAAATAATACTTATTGACTCTATGTAAGAAACTGCTTAGTACTGACTCTCATACTCTGTTATTACACATATGTTTTGATATTATCAGCTTTCTGAAAAACTGGTTTTACTCAGTTGCTTGTTTTCGTGTAATAGAAACACTAGCTATACAAGTACACCTATTTACCTTGCTTTCTTATGATACTAATCCAGCAAAAAATTTCTGTCATATGATGTGCTTTGCTGGACAGGACTTACCTTCTGGGGAGTACTTACATGTCATTTAAGGATGAGTGAACGTTCACCTGACTGCTTGCACTTTGAATCGTAAAAGTCAATTTGTTTGAAAGAGTATTAAGCAATTGTAATATTTATGAGAGCAGCCACACTTAAGACTACTTTGGGAGACAGTGATAAAAATTGTAGAATTAACCTGCCTGTGGGCACATAAAGATGTTACCGTGATGAACCTTCCCATTTCTGGCAGTGATGAGAACAACATGAATTTAGTGACCTGCTTTTGAAGGGTTTCTTTTTAATAGATCAGAGTGCTTCAGAGCAGACTGTGACAAAACTAGTAAGCAGTTGTTTATGAACCTGATTTGCAATTCCATTGCTAGAGTAGAGTTGAAAAAATAATTATATCCATACTTGAAATATGCTGTAAATCTTAACTGCATCTCTGAAGGGAAAAAAATATGCAATATACTAATATCAGAGTTTGGAGATTAAGCTATTCTTTGAGATGTACATCTTTTTAATCATATCAGGAAAATCTAAATAATTGCTATTAATTTCAGAAGCACAGATATGGCTACATCACCTTAATGGTAATTAGTTTAACTTAAGATTTTTAAGTATTAGATAGTTACATTTTCTTCTTTCCTGTTCCTTTTTTTTTTCTGTTCATCCTTGAAGACATTAACTGAGACAGGTTATGAAAAATATAATGAGGTAATTGTAGCATGTGTGTGCACTGTGTGAATCTTAATGTTAGTGCTTTTTAGCTAAAGATGTGTGTATAGTGCTAAAGTAACTGATTAGCATATATACATTACTGCTTGTTGAATTATAATGTAGGTGTTCATCACAATATTTTACACAATTCCTTTGACATGTGAATTAATCCCCATAGTTAAATTTGAGGATTTTGAGGAAGCTTGCTTTTAGTACATGACTCTCCTTTCTAAAACTCATTCTTACAACCTTTAAGGATATTAGCATGTTTTTCTGATGTTCTCCTGTCCCTTCCTCTACTTTTCCCTTCCAGAACAGAGATATTTCTTCTCACTGTTATTTTACCAGGAGATTCCTGTAATGGGTTTATCCACTCTTGATCAGAAAACAGTATGTCTAAATAGCGTTTTTCAAACAGACTAGCGTTCATTCTGCCTGCACTCTGTCCTCACTGGAGGGAATTCAACTGATGAACAAGCAGATTGTTGGCTGGCACAGTTTCAGTTGTGTTAATATTTTAACGTGTTTGAGTATATTAAGATACAGGTGAAGGAAAATTTTTGTTTTCTTATTGAAATTGGGAAAATCTTCAGAAACCCTCACAATTTAAACCAAAAAAAAATTCAATAATTTTTCTGTGGTTTTTGGAGATGATAGAATATTATGAGTACTGTGGAGCGTGGTGCAAACATGGAAAATGCTCAGTGCACAGCCAGTCAGTGCTGGCATATGTAGAGCTGACTTAATGGATCTGCCTGGATTCAAATGGATTATTGCTGAATCTTGTGGGATTGTCTGTACTGCTCTGTGTTTCAGTGGGCTTCTTAACTGTGAGGATTCTTATATTAGCAGTGCTTCACGTATATAAATGATCCCACCAGCTTAAGTGCTGGGAAACATGATGCAAACACCGGAGCGACCAGGCTTTATACCCTGGCTGCTATTTTGACTAAACATTGGCTCTGTAGGAGCTGATGAGGCCCACATTGAGCCAGAGCTTACTGAGTCAGTTTGGTGCCATTTTGTTAAACAGGTCCAGGCTAAAAGACTTTATAGGTTTAGACTATGTGAAAGAACCAGTGGTTTCTTGAGCTCACTCTGGAAGTTACACAGCTGTGCTCATAGAGGACAGTGTTGCACTGGAGGTGATAGCTCCACAAACAGGCTCAGCAAAGAGTGAGCTACATATTCTTTCTATTTGTAGCATAAATTAATCCATAGTTTGGATAAACTCCCAACAGATAATTGAAAGGTGAGATGAATAGGTCATTCCCTCTTTTAGTTCTTGTGCATGAATAAAACTTTTGACAATGAAAAATAAATCTCTGCAGAGATTTATCTTTGATTTCTCACCTTTCTTTTTTCGCTCTAGTGCATGGAAATAATGTATCAATTGAGTACCTTATTTCTACAATTCAGAATGATATATAATGATTTTGTAAGCTGGAGGGTTTCTTGGTTTGGGGGTTTTTTTTTAAGTATTTTGGTACTTGGGGACTGTCAAAAGAGGAAAAGTTGACAATAAGTAGTTTGCCGTAATGCTGTTTGCAGTCCTATCCTGTTTTGATCTTAAGTCTGCCCTTTCTCCATATGATCACATGACTAAATATTTAGTCAGTATGGCAACTTCTTTTGAGGTGGTGGTGCTGTGGTTTATTATTACTGTCCCCTGGTTTTATGTGGGTAGGTGAACATTTAAAAGAATTTAGTCTTCAGTCTTCTGGAGGAAGAACTTAGTGTTACACCTTCTGCCTTCTTCCCCTTCCATTCTTCCCTTCCTGCCTTTTCACGAAAGAAGCATCTTGCAAGATAGAATTACTTTTAAAATCTCTCCTTAATGGTTTTCTTTTCTCTAGATTGAATGTTCTGGGTGATCTTCTGCAAGTCCTGCAATATTCCTCTTTTTTTAATGTACCTGTAGTAAAAAGATTAATTTTTCTAATACCACATTATTACTTAACACTTATTTTAGGAGATAAATCAAATTATCAATTTTATGCAAAGATTTCAGGGTCAAAAACCTTTAAAATGGCAAAATATTTTGTTTGTTAATTAATATTAATTAACTGCAGGGCAAAAGGGGCAGAAATGTATGAATGCATCCTGTTGTCATCCAACTGGGGAAACAACTTGAAGCATCCGTTCCAGTAGCACACTTCTGTTGTCAGTTCTTTCATTTGAATTTTGTTCTAGTATTCACAGAAAATAATGTACTGTCTGAAAATACCTTGAATAACCAGTTAAAATATTGTTACTTTGAGAATCTGAGGATTCTATTAAGATGCAATAGAAGTGTTTTGATAATGATTTCTGAATTCAGTTGTAAAAAAAAAAAAAAAATAAAAAAATTGCAAGTAATTTTCAGTGCCCAGCTAATACAGTGGTTGGAAGGAGTCCAGTACTGAGTGCAGAAGATGTGATACTATATAATCATCATCCTCGTTGTCAGGCAGGACTAATTGGGTGGAAAGGGTTTAAAAGAACTCTAAAAATCAAACTATTCACTCCTCCATGGAGGCTTTCTTAAATCATTGTTGAAGTAGATGGAAGGATTGCTTCTCGCTTTTTGTTTATATTTTGGTTTTGAAAGTCTGTGTTATCGTAATGACTTGCACTGAGTGTACTTTTATGGAAAAGTTTAATTGTGGACCTCATACTTCATGACTTCTAGTGTACATATCTACATCCAAAGTGTGTAATGCCTGAATGATGTTTCATAGAAATTTTGGATATTTTTCTGACAATAGAATGAAAGACTTGGGTACTACTACATGTTAAATGGAATTGTCTGCAAGACCTGTCCACAACATAGAGAAGTTATTTGAACTGTGTTAGGTAGAGTCTGATGTGTATATATCAACTTGGGGGGGGGCAAATAAAGTCTTGAATCACTGAAATCTGTCCAGGAGGTGTCCTTTATATACTTCCTGTCATGCCACAGTCTTTCTGCTTTGACTTGTTTTAAATACTGAGAAATGAGTGAGAACATGTTTGTCCGTATACAGAGAAATAAGAATTTTGAGGGGTTTCTTTGTTGTTGGTTGGTTGTTTTGGGGGTTTTTTTGATGGTAGAATCAGTTTCAGTAAGTGATGGGTAGGAAGGAAGGATCAACGAAAGTCAAATCTCTTTTAAGTTTTCAGTGTGTGCTCAGGAAGGATGCTTTTATTCAGCGTGGACCATATTTCAGGTACTGCTACTAATTTGTGGTTACACAAGAGTGAATCTGGTTTGCTAAATTCTAGTGTATGTGTGTGTCTTAAGTTTTGATGTTCCTCTTTTCATATTGTGCATTGTTAATTTATTATTGTAAACATTCCATTTGGAGCTCTAAGCAAGTAACTTACTGCTGAAGATTTCAATATGAAGACCATGTCTTTGCTTACTGTTGCTTTAATGTAATTTCAGGAAATTAAAAAATTCATCAAAGGTGTTTCTGAGAAGATAAAAAAAACTAGGGACAAGTACGGCATTAATGACAATGGCACAACAGAGGTAAATAGTTTCAAGGGGGTGATTATGTAGTTATTTTAAATCTTTGTATGCTTTTGCTTTTCCAACTGTTGTATTCTCTTTTCAGCCACGAGTTTTATATCAGTTGGATAGGATTACTCCAACACAACTAGAGAAGTTTCTAGAGACTTGTAGGGACAAATACATGAGGTAAGTGCTTAGCCTGTTATTTTCTGTCAGTTTACCCCCCCGCCCTAATTCAGTATTTACTGATTTGTTTGCAATCTAGGAGTGTATTTTGCTATTTTTAATATATGAATGTTGGTTCTGTTGTGAATGCAATACAAATAAAGAATAAGAAACAGTTGGCCTCAGTGATATAAACATTGCAAGACAAAGGTAAAATGCCAAAAAAAAAAAAAAAAAGCATCACCATCTACAGGTGGGCTTGTTAAGGCAGACATGTTCCCTTTCTCTCCCTCTCACAGGAGATTGTTCCAAACCTCCAAAGAGTCCATGCAGAATAATGTCTGAATAGATCAGTTTCAAATACATGTGAATCTTGATGGTTATTCTTCATCTACACCATCTGAAGAGTTATGTCACGCTTCATGCTAACATGTTCTTGAATCTGTTATGTACCTGTAGGAGCCTTTTGTTTGTTATTCTTGGTCTCCAACAAGATAGTGATAGTGTGGATGTTTTCAACTCTTACCTGTCGAGAGTTGTTTTATTTACTTAGACTGCTTGGATTTGTTCATTGGCATGCAGCCATTGGTGACAGCTGCTTTGTGGCCTCACACTCACCTGCATTAATTGTTTACTAGTATTTTTTCTTTTTCTAGAAAATTAATATATACATAAATTCTTAACATTACTATTTTAAAACAATTACCAGTTTTCTGCTTTCAGTTATTAAGATTACTTGCTTATGTTTGTCTTAAGTGTTCTTAAACATGAATTGCCTATTTTACTGTATTAAGTTGGTTTAGCATACTATATTATGTTGATCTGACAACTGAAAGATGGTACCCTTGGAAAGGATCTAATTGCTATGATGTTTGTTTTCGTATTTTAGACTGTTGTCATTTTACCAGGAGAAATATCTCGACTGAGATTTCAGCAATTTTTGGATAGATGTGACATGAATGTAAAGAGGTCTCCAAATAATAGTGAAAACAATAACCTCTATTTAAATAATTTTGTTTTACAGTCACCCAGAATTAATTCCTTTAGATGGTACAAGCTAAATAACTATTAGACAGCATTTTTACTTGGTAAGAGCTCATCGAGGAAAATGCAAGAAGCTGCTATGAGTTAGATTGATTTAGGAAGTGTTATTGTGCCTTAAGTTCAGAGGTTTTTGCTCTAGAAAAGCAGATCACATTGCACTCTGTGCAAGCTGAAGAATGCTAACTGCAGGATCTGAAGAAAATTGTATGGGAGAATGTAAACCACCCCTCACATCTCATTTTGAGAATGCATAGTGTAGTGTAGTGGTCTTCATTCTTTGTTCTGTAAGGACAACCAGTTCTCAAAGTACATAAATTTTAGAAAGGGGCAAATGTGGGAATGAGCCCATTACATGCATAACTTGAAGGCAAAGTAGGTCATCAGTATAGGGTTTTTGAATAAGATGAAAACAAGAAGACATTAATATCTGGATTTTGTTCTGATTAAAAAGTAATCTGCATAATAATTACTTAAAAGAAGACTTAATAGAGGTCTCTCATGCTTAAACATATAAAGGGGAGTTTTGGGTAAGTTAGCATATGGGATTTCCCTGAATGGGCAATCCTGAATCTACTGCTTGATGCTTTGGAGGAAGAGGACAAACATTTTGTTTTCTGTTGTGGATGTTACACTGCATCTGTGGAATGTCTGTGTAACAGGGCATCTTCTTGCCTTGCATGAGATCAGTGTCCTGAGTATTGGTGACCTTTTAACCTCTCCCCTGTTCATTTAAAAAAAAAAAAAAAATTTAACAAACTTCTCATTATCTGCCAGTGTAGTTTGTCTGTGCTTACTTAGGATTTTATGCCTTTTTGAGTTCTATGTCTCTTTCTGTATTTTTTTATGAGTGAATTTCTTTATTAGGGCACAGATGGAGCCTGGTTCTGCAGTAGGAGCTCTTTGCGCACAGAGTATTGGTGAGCCTGGCACACAGATGACTCTGAAGACTTTCCATTTTGCTGGCGTTGCTTCAATGAACATTACTTTGGGTGTGCCAAGAATCAAAGAAATCATTAATGCTTCAAAGGCTATTAGGTATTAACATTGTTTTGGTTTTGCTTTTTTCTTTTGCTTAAGTGAAACCTGATGGATACATTTTCAATATGTGATAGCATTTCCCTGTTCTCAATAATATAGTAGATAACATTGAATCCATGGAATACCAAAATACAAAAAATCTAACGTCTGTCCAACTAAGTGATACTTAGGGCAGAGAAGAGAGAAGTTTTATTTTCCTGAAAATCAAATGAGGTAAAGTAGTTACTTCCTAAGTTTAATATTCCATTAGGTGTCTCATATATTGTGAAACTTTCTGATGTTTAGTGCTAGTTGAAACTTACCTATTACTAGGTATCCACTTAAAGAATACTAGAATAATGTACGCCATGAAAATAGTCACTGATTTGTTATGTTATAATCTCTTGCGTGTGTGGTTGTTTTTACTGGCCTGAAGTACATGAACAATAATTTTCTTAAATGTACCTGAGGAAGCTGAAGGTCTCTTTATGTTATTAAATACTACTCTAGATGATTAGATCGGTTCCATAAGGCTGCTTGTAACTCAAATTGCCATCTGTAATCTACCTGAGCAATTTTCTAAGTGGTTTTTTTGTGTGTGTTTATTCTTTGTAGCACCCCTATTATAACAGCACAGTTGGACAAAGATGATGATCCTGATTTTGCCCGTCTGGTTAAAGGAAGAATTGAGAAAACTTTATTAGGAGAGGTGGGAAAAATTGTGTTATTGCCAATGCTTTAAATGCTATGGGACATTTTAATCAATTGCTATGGGGCATTTTAACCATATTCACATGCTAAGTATTTTGTCCTTATCTCTTAAAGATTTCAGAATATATTGAGGAGGTGTTTCTTCCAGATGATTGTTTCATCCTAGTGAAGCTGTCTTTAGAGCGCATTAGACTACTGAGATTAGAGGTGAGTTGTTCAGTTCTTATGCAGAATATGCCTTGGGTAAATTCCAAAGGTTCTCTTAATCCTGTCTCAGAAACGAAGTCAGACCAGTGGAAGTTAAAAAAAAGAAAGCGAACAAAGGATGTCCTGTGGCTACATTACATCTGGATTCCACACACCCCCCCCCCTTTTTTTTTTGTTACCTTGTAAAGTGAATAATTTTTCCTTTATTTGGAAATGAAATAACATACATTCATTTCTTTGGTTCCTTGCTAAATACAAGGATGCCATTTCTGTCCATTAGGTAGCATATAGGCCAATACCCTCAGCATGGGATAGTATTTCATGCAACTTATAAGAGTAACAACTTTTGCTTATTTTTCTACATTACACTTTTTTTATATTCTGTTGAAAGACTGCTCTATGTATTTGAGCAGATTTATATATGAGAGATACCCTGATGTTTGTTGGCTGACTTTTGCCACAGGTGAATGCAGAGACTGTGCGCTACTCTATTTGCATATCTAAACTCAGAGTAAAGCCTGGGGATGTTGCTGTCCATGGAGAAGCAGTTGTATGTGTGACCCCTCGTGAAAACAGCAAGAGTTCAATGTATTATGTATTGCAGTCCCTGAAGGAAGAACTACCAAAGGTAAAAACAAAGACTGTCTCATGCTTTTGTAGGAGGTAATCAATAATAATAATTTGGGATTCTATGGTGGAAAGACAAAATAATTCTGGTCAATATTGACAATGAAGATAGTCTGAATCCATAACTCTTAGATTGCAATGCTACTGCTTTACAGCTGAAACTAAGCCTCTGTTGCTAATCTTTATAAATAAAATCTAAGTCTTGATACTTTACTTGCAACATTTACTGAAGCATTCAGAGTGCAGCCATTGTATGAAATAGTTATATCTTCTTCCAGCTGCATCTAGAATTCAACCACATGACAGTATCTGGCATTTTTTGCAGCTTTCTGTGAGGAGACTGTCTACTTCGGATTTTAAAAATAGTGATACGTGAACCTTATTATTGGCAGGATGCCCTTTCAGTTGTGTGGATCTACCACCATTCAGATACCCAGGTCTGAGTGTGAGGATATCTGGCATAAAATATAAAATGTAGGTAGTGAGTAAGGCTTATAGTACAGTGTGAATGTCACATTTGCGCTAGTGTATTTAAGAGCAGGAAATCTTATTTCATATTTATTTTAATTGAGCATTTACTCCAAAAACTGGAGCTTCTAAATAGGTTGGAATGCTGATAAGGGTTACCCTTTTATACTGCGTTACTGTACACATCAAAGTTACTAGGTTTTTTTGTTTTGTGAAGGTTGTAGTGCAAGGTATACCAGAGGTTTCCCGAGCTGTCATTCACATTGATGAACAAAGTGGAAAGGAAAAATATAAACTTTTAGTTGAAGGTGATAATCTGCGAGCTGTTATGGCTACTCACGGAGTGAAAGGAACAAAAACGTCCTCTAACAACACTTACGAGGTAATGTTCAAACGGGTATTGTAGGTTTTTTCCCCATACCATCTTTATTACAAGTGCTTGTTTGTGTTCAGTTGCAGCAGTTGATATCTAATCAAGCCTGGTTTCACTAATAGTTGTCAGAATGCATTAGCACAAGAGAATAATTCAACTGGCAGCACTGTTCACTTCAAAGAAGCCTTTTCTATGAATATTTTTAAAACAGAGAAATGCAAAAGGCTAGTAATGAAAATGGAGTGTTATCTGACATTAGGTGGCATTTGTTCCAGGAATATACTTATTCCAAGCATTTGGTTCTTCATTAATCTAACATAATCTCTTGTGTAGGTAGAGAAGACACTAGGAATTGAAGCTGCTCGGACAACCATTATCAATGAGATTCAGTATACAATGGTGAACCATGGTATGAGCATTGACAGGAGACATGTTATGTTGCTGTCTGATCTAATGACTTACAAGGTTTGTACTATGCTTTTTCTAAATGTTGCATTGGCCTGTTCATACAAATTAATTTGACCATGTTTGGGAAAGATGGGTGAGTTATAGGTTTAAAGAATTGTATGTTATACTGACCAGATACTGTTGTTTGTATATCAAACAAAACGCTTAATTAATCTGTTTCTTGGGGGTAGGGAGTATAAGGTCTATTTTGACTGAAAACAAGTTCATATAATGAGTAGGGAATTATAATTTCATATTGGAAATAGGAATCCTAAAAATTGTGGTATGAAAATCAACTGGGTAACGATGCATGCAATTTAAGGCTTGCTGAGCAGAAAACCACACGGGGTGTGGTTCATAGCAGCTGCACTGTTTATAAGAGACAAAGGATACAGACATTACAAATAGAATCAGATTACGTTTAGAGTATCAACAGTCTTCCAGAACTTGTTAGTAGAAAATTGTATCTGTTCTTTATTGATTGACTCTCTTTCTTTCACATCTGATATGTTTTTTAGATTTGAGTATGCTTAGTGAAGTAAGACTTTCCACTTTGCCTGCCAGAGTGCAAGGGTTTAATTTGAGTAAAATGGATGAAGGAGTTCTGACTTCTCCCAAAACTGGCGCTTTGTTGTACTGAGCTGCAGCAGTCCCCAGGGCTGGCTGTGTGGGGCTGCAACACAATAGTGGAAAAGGGCATCAGAGTGCAATGTTTTACACTTGTTAGGCTCCTAGCATGCATTCTTTTGTCTGTGCTTCTGACTTGTGCTTCTGTGCACTGTCTGTTATAATCAGGATGTTTGTTAGAAACAGAGGCAGAAATAAACCAAGTTAGTGTAAAAAGCTAATTACTTTTTTTTCTGGAGAGCAAAAAAATGAAGATTTAACATCTTTTGTAATCTCCTGGCAGCTGAAGTTGGATTTAACAGTAGACAATAGGCAGTAGCTTCAGCATAGTGCTCTCAGACCCCACTAAAATTTGTAGCTCAGCAACTACTTTATAATTTTGTGTTTTTTCTCATGGCCATGTTTCTTTCAATCTTTCCAATATTTTTGCTTTAAAAAAAAATAATAAAAAAATCTATTAACCATTTATAACAGCTTCTGTTGTGTATGAATAATCACTTCTGTTTTATTTAAATATTGATTACTACCAAACTATTAACCTTCGGGATGTTTAACTGTGAAGCAGCATATTATGACAATGATATATTGTAGATAGTAACCTTTTTACTCACTACTTGTTTCATGTGTTTGTTAGAATAAAAACTACATTTCTGTTGTTCGCTTGATTTGCTTCTTTAGCAAATATAACTGACCTCCAGCCACTATTATGATAGTCTCTCTTTGGGTTTTTCCATCAATCAAGGGTGAAGTGCTGGGCATTACTAGGTTTGGACTGGCAAAAATGAAGGAAAGTGTGTTGATGCTAGCTTCTTTTGAAAAGACTGCAGACCATCTCTTTGATGCTGCCTACTTTGGACAGAAGGATTCTGTTTGTGGTAGGTATTGCAAATTCTGCTACAGTTTGTGGTCCTTACCCAGCATCTGTAAACCTCTTCAAAGCATTGGATTTTTGCCCTTAAGCTTTCTGTTCAGCTTACATGTCAAAAACTTCAGGCCTGATGCTAATCCATACTTCTTAATCCTAGAGGTTTGGTGAATGTTTCTCTACTTCTAATTTCAGTCAGAGATCTTGAAGTCAGTTGGACATTTGTTGTAAGTTTCTTAAAGTAGACTTTAGTAATTTGGTTTTACTTCTCACCACATAGCTCAGTGCAATACCAGGAAATTTGTCCTGCTATTGGTAGTTCTGTTTTTTCAGTTTTGAAAGTTGTATATCTTCAACACCTAGAGCTTATTGAGGAATCTAGTATTTAGGTTTCATTTTCATTCCTACTAAGAAGTAGAAAGACATGTGTCTCAGGTAGCATAGGTGAATATCATACTGTGCATAATGATTGCTTATCTGATGATTGTAACTAGAAATAAACAGAAGCACAAAGTTCTTGTCCTCTTCAGTTAGTTCTGATGTAAATAGATAAAAACTGTGGGGTGGTGATTTTTTTTTATTTAGAAGCCTTGTTTATCAGTACTCCATTCATTAACAGAACAGAGATCCCTGTCCTGAGAAATTTCTTTTTAAATGTATCGGTTTCAGTTTTAAAGTTAGGTTCATTAACATCCATTGAATCATACTCTCGCTGAATTAATGAAAGAACCTGATAAAAGTTTAAAAATATATGTATACATGCACACAAGTGCATGCATGTACATAGAGCCAAACAAAATTCAGATAGACGAGTTTTTTGTTATTCTCTTTGTCTTTTAATTTTGCATTTCTGCCATGGACTCTAATATTTGGAATTGAAATTATTTTTCTTTTTTTAAACTCCTTTGCCCCCATTCCTCCCAGATTTCATTCTCCTTTAAGCTACATACATTTTGGAATGATTTGTTAACAAGTCTCTATCTAGTAGGTTAAACAGAGAAAAGTAGTCAAGCAGGTTTCACCCTCTTCAACACCTGTTTATGTAAGGCATACCATCCCGGAGCAGTAACTGCTCATTTGGGGTTTCTGGGTGCTAATGAAGTATAAAAATATGAATGTATTATGTTAAGGTTTACTGGTTTGTATGTATTTGTAGGTGGTCTTAGAAAGTGTAGTCAATTAACAGTGCTTTGTGGACAGTATATTTTCTGAATATCTGGAATCTGTTAGAAACCTTTGTGTTACTAGTTTGTATTTTAAGAGCGCTGCCACTTTCTGGCTGTCCAGCATTCCACGAGAGTGGGATTTTCTTTCTTTCTTTTTTTTTTTTTTTTTATTATTATTTGCCCATAATTAAAGCAAAGATCCTTTGGGAGACTGATTCCATCCTGGACAGTAAGGAAAATAAAATGTTTTCTCTAAGTCGCCTTTGAGCTGGTAAAACCTTGTTTTGAATAATGTGGAAACCAAAGATCTTTTCATGTTGCTTTCTATATATATGCTTTACTTCAAATAAGAAAATGAAATGGACAAAACAGAAAATTGTTGTCTGTCTTCCAAAACTGAAGAGATGATACTGACTTCCTTGTACAAAAAAGTGCTGTGCAGCTGCCTGACCTGGCCATCACTAGTTATCTCTTTGAATTGCTATGAAAAGAAACTCTTACACACTGATGGTTTTGCATCTCCAGAGCAAGAAAAAATTGCAAACATTGCCAAGAAAAATGAGTATGTACCCAAAATGAACTATAGGTGCTGAACTGAATGGCATCTCAAGTCAGTGCTTCTCCTGAATCTGTGGGTATAGTTTTAGACCATCTGGCCTTTGAATCCCTTTTGTCTTGTAAGATGCATTTCTCCCCCCCGAGAAAATGGGGAACAGCTGATTCCTGCTTTACCTACATAAAGACAGGCATTTTCTTGTGAGAACTGCTGGTGCCACATTTCAGTGGGCAGAGTGGGTTGAAACTAGAGCAGAGGAGTACATCCAGTTCCAGCAGCATCCTCTGTAGAAGCAGGATCAGCAAGTGCAAGCCACTGCTTAGAGATATAGTCGATTTACTTTACCTTTCTATCCCCTTCCCAAAGAGTAGCCAACTGCACTTTCATTTGTAACTTAAGAATGGGAACTGAGAGCTACAGATCACTGCTGTGATGCTCATTTATGAGGAGGTGGTCTGGAAGGGAAGTGTCAAAAATAAACTTTGTAATAAGAGCAGTACAACTAGCTTCATCTCTACCGATCTTCACCCAGCTGAAAGTGAAAGCAGCAGTTCATAGCTGTCAGCCAGATGTTTAGACCTGCACTAGATTATAACTGGTAGCGTTAAAAGACTTTGCACTGGAGGAGTCTTGGATGGTCATTAGAGCGGAGTGTGCTCTGCTGGCACTTCTGCCACCAATGATATCATTATCTTCAGCTGTCTGATACAATTGTCTCTCGCCTCTAGTATACATTAGTCTGAGCAAGTACATAACATACATACACTTGATTGTTATAATGGCATGTTCTGTCTGAGCATTTCCTGCTATATGTGACTGCTGTCAGATGCTGCAAACTATTATTTTGTCGGTGAGGCCAAAGGAAGTTGGGGAGGAAGGGCTTCTGACTGTATACATGGAAGTATTGCAAGGGAAGAAGGATTCCCAAATCTAACTGCAGTTTCCATGGTTCAGAGGTTGGCTCAGCTTGAAAGGTTATTGTGCAAAACCAGATAGATTTTATTCTGCTAGGTATTAGAAAGGTGGTTCCTTTATCTGTGTAACCTGCATGCTGTAGAGGCCTAAATAAACATTAAGCGACTCCTAAGAATTCTATTTTGCACAAGATTTTTAAGTGCATAATGTTGGAAAATATGTAGTAGAAATGCAGCAATGGTCTAAGAGCAAAAATACAGAATCTTCATTAATATGCATTTAAATTGCCAATCGAATCTTGCCAGAATTTTAAGCAAATTGATTTTCATCTTTTGTGCATTCGAAGGTACAGCTATTTATTGTTATTTTCTTAAACATTTATATGAAGGACAACATTCTTATACTCCTGAGAATATGTGAAAGTGTCATTTGGATCATAACAGTATGCCAAGGAAAAAAAACCACTGGTATCTGATAGATTGCTTTTAATGTGGAATGTTCTTTGGAAAAGTTGTATACATGAGTAGATGTGGAATATAGATGTGTCAGCACATTTCTGTGAAAATGTTATGGCTATCAAAAATAATTGGGACAGACTAAATCTTTAAATTCAAAACATGCACTTTTTGAATTGTGAAAATGCAAAAAAAGTGGTATAGCTAACGTAGTGATATGCCTCTTTCACTGGGAAGTTACGGGCATGTCAAGGGAACTTGGCCAGATTTGACTGAAGTCTTAGCACTGAGTCAGAGGATGAACATAAAGTAACTTTGCCTTGCATCTTCTGCTCTTGGCACTGAGTGGAATGTGTCTTCTCCAAAAACAAACCTTCTGAGGCTCTTCCATTGCTAGAGAAGGTGTTTAGGTTAGGTTGCATTTTTTCCATCTAGAATTTAAACAACACAAATAACATACTGATCCGATGACCATAAAATTTAACTTTATCTAGTGAAGAGACATTGATCTTTAACATGTAGGCTTGAAAGAGGTTTGATAGGCAATGCATACAGAATGGGCAAATGAAAACAGTTTTGTAAATCCTTACTTGTCAGATGTTCAACATGTTTGGTTTTTTTCGTAGGTGTTTCTGAGTGCATCATCATGGGAATTCCGATGAATATTGGAACAGGACTTTTTAAGCTGTTGCACAAAGCAGACAAAGAATCAACCCCTCCTAGGAGGCCTCTGATATTTGATAATAATGAATTTCATATTCCCATTGTTACGTAGCACTTGGACATAATACAAGATAGCAAAACAAGAAGTAGCAGAAAACATCATTTAAATTAAGAAATGTATATTATCAGTTCTGTATGTCTCAATAACTGTGAATTGGTAAGTGAAATACTATCAAAAGAATTGCCCAATTATTTACCACCTGTTGTTACTACAGACCCTGAAAGGAGAGGCTTCTCTGCACCAGAGAGTGGAAATAAAGTGGATTTCAGCTGATAAAATTTTCTTCTTCATGTGCTAGAATTAGATCTTTGTGTTAATGAGTAGAAGTTGTTATTAACTCAGTATTAGACACATCTATTCAGATGTGATCAATAAAACCAAAACTGCAAGAGTTCTGTGAGCTTGCACAGAGTGCATTTGGAGATGGCCTTTCAACAGGAGCTGCAGAGGTCAGTCTGTAGCTGGTAAGAACAGAGACTTCAGAAAGCTAGAACTGAGTCTTTCATTCATTTATACTGAGTTAAACTTCAGGAGTGCTGTTAAAAGTGTTTGAAATATTTGCTCTTTGCTTTTTTTTTTTTTAATTGTTTTTCTTTTATTCCAAGTTATCATCCAGTAAATGGTTTTGCTCCCCAGGACTCTGCTTTGGGATGTACCTGCAAGAATCTGCAAATGGTAAAGCTGTTACTAAATTCTGAGAAGACTGTTACAAAAACATTACAAATTATAAATAGCTTTTAATATTATAGCAGCTGTTACACTGCTGGAATCTGTAATTTACAGCAGTCTTAGTTTTATGAAAGTTTTATAATTGAGCAGGATCATCTGAACAACCTAGTTTTATTTTAATATATAAAGTAAAAATAGAAAGGGGAGCTGTTTTCCTGCATTGCCTTGAAATAATTTGAAAGTATTTTAATCTTTAGCCCACTAGAGTAGTTTTCAGAATGAATATAAATCTTAAATTATTTTGATGTAGTATGTTTAAATTTACTCTGGTGCTATGGAGGGAAGGTATCTTAGTGTTTCCTTCTCAGCATTGTTTGGATATTCAGTGTGCTCATAACACAGGTCAAGGTCGGAGAGAAGCAAAGTAGAGGAAAAAAAGCTAAAGGTGCGCACTTATGAAGTAAAAGCAGGCCGCTGAATGATCTTGCATTTGAAAATGAACAAGTTTGTGCTGCAGTTTGTCTTCATGTAGCAACCAAAAGAAAAAGTGTAAGGCTACATTCAGAGGATGTAAGTCTAAAGATGCTGCTGTTTATTTTTTAAATCATCCTCCATGCAGAGAAGACCTGATGTGAAATTCAACATAGCTATTATCAAATTATTTTGTGTTTTTAATGTGATACTAAGATACACTTCCGCCTAGATTTTGGCAGGTAAAGATTGAGAATGTAACGCATTTAGTATCTGCTCTAAAAGCCATATATATTTTGCTATCTCCCTTTAACAACAGAAATTTCAGAATAAATTTAAATTTTCTTCGTGATCTCAGTGAGATTGCCACTTTCTGATTTGTCTGTATAGAAGTCTAGCTCTGTTTCTTTTTAAATATGTCAGTGTAAGACAGGTAGGGGCCAAATGGAGAGAAAGCCCCTAAACCTTTCCTGTGGATAAGAACTTCATTTTACCATGGGAAATTCTAGTGAAAGTGGTTGGTATTTTTTGTGAATAAAGATTCTTCTGAAGGTGTAAATGGGTGGAGTTGGTATTGGAATGACTAACCACCTCTTTTTTTCTTTGTCTCTTTTTTTTTTTTTTTTTTTTTAAATATAGTGAAATGTTGCTGTTTAAATGGTGGGTTTACTCTTTTGTATGTGTAAAAAGTATTCAGTAAATTACATCTGTTATCATTGTCTTTAATATGACAATAAAAAGAGGCAGAGATAAAGAAAATGTAAACCTTGTGTTTGCTTATTGATGCATTATATTTGTGCATAATAACTTTATGGATGACCTAACCTCCATCTCCATCATTTGCTTATTTAAGACAGTTGAGAATTACTGAGCTTAAATCTCAGGTATTTACAACCTAAATGAATATGTAATATAAAGCCTATCTTGCTTAAGGTAAATATAAACACATCTTGCCCTCTGAGCAGGCTATTAAGTTCCTAAGTATTTCAGCCAAAAATAGATTGTTTACAAGAAATCTGGATTAGTAATTATTGTTTGGGCTTTCTGTACAGTCAGTAAACAAATTAGCTGTTGGATTTCACTCATAAGCAGCTTTTTTTAAGGGTTTCTTTTAATGGTCGAAGATACAGAACTTTGGGGTATTTCCTAAAATTTACATTTTAATTTAAATTTTCAAGAATTTTTTTCTGAAAAATTACTAGATGACAGTAGAAGCCCTAGAACAGAACATCCCAGACAGCCATCGTGTCTTTACATGGAAAAGCATCACTGATTCGTTTATGATGTCTCAGAATTGTTTGTGTACTGCAGTACTGTCCTGGGTTCAGCTGGGATAGAGTTAATTTTTTACAGGAACCTGGGAGGTGGGGGGCATAGCCGGGGCAGCTGACCTGAACTGGCCAAGGAGCTATTCCATACCATGTGACATCATGCTCAGTATATAAATGGGGAGTGGGCCGGGGGGTGGGCTCGACTTTCGGTGGGGGAAGTGGCGGAGCGTCGAGTCCCGGGTGGTGAGCAGTTGCACTGTGCATCACTCTTTTTGTATACTCTTTCATTAGTACCGTTGTTGTTGTTGTTGCAATTTCTTTGTGTTGTTCCAGTAAACTGCCTTTATCTCCACCCTCGAGGTTCCAGTTTTGTTTTTTTTCCTCTCCTCCGTCTCCCCCCCTATCCCACCGGAGGGGGGCGGGAGGAGTGAGCGAGCGGCCGCGTGGTCCTTTGTTACCGGCTGGGCTGAAACCACGACAAGTACACAAACTTTACTACAGTAAAAACATTTGTGAAAGTAATGCTAAAATCTCTACTAATTAGGTTATGGGAACAATTGGGTACTATCATTCAGATTTGATCACCAGATGCCCTTAAACTTTTAAACCGTCTGGCTCCTGTAGAACATAGGCATTGAACTTAGAATAGTAGGGCTGCTGAAGAATCTCAAGTATGAACTGCATAGCCAATGGTGCAGCAGGCAGGCAGCAAGGCCAGCTGCACGTGGGAGGCCTGAGATGGGAACCCTGATTCATTTTGGTACTGCTGGCAGCACATTTTTAAGGAAGCAAGAATTGGCTACCAAAATTCATTAAGTTAATTATGAATATCCATATCCTGATTTCTAATTTTATCCCTATGTTTAATTTGTTTTAAAACAAATGTAAACTTTTGCTTAATTGTCAGGCTTGGAAACTCCTCAATAAGTCATTATTTATAAACTGATCCTTGGGTTTTTTTTTTTTTTCTCGAGTCTACTGAAAATACTGTGTGAGTTGCACTCAAACTTGAAAACAGCTTTCTGTCTTGATCTCAAGTAAATGGCAAAGCAGATACGTTGTTCATTTGTATTCTTTGAAGATTAGGAGTTCTGATTTTATGTGTAGTAGGTCAAAAAAACCTCCTTCCATCTCCACTTTTCTGTCTAACAATAGGAGTAGCTGAATAATTACTTCTAAAAGTACATCAGTAGATACTTGGAGATGGAGGGATCTTCTGTATGTCTCTCTTTGCCCTAAAAACAAACAAATGAAACCCCATCTTTGGTCCCTCTGATTGGAACACAGAAAATGACCTGCTAGTCTGGTGACAAGTCGGATGGAGAAGCCTGGAGTACTGGCAGTAGGTAGAAGGCTGCAGTTAACTGCTGAAGCGCGCTGTTCGTACCAAGGGATCGGCTGAGCTCAACGGTGAGGGCAGGATCTCTTCAGCGATGGGAACAGAGCAGAACCAGAGGAGAAGTGTAAGTGAAGGGGGAGAGGACAAAGCAGTCGTCAAATGGAGAAGCTAAGCAAAGTTCTGCTTCCTGAGATGGTTGCAGGAGGGTTAGCTGTTTGCTGTGCAGTGCGTTTCTGTGACGGCTGCATGGATGGCAAGATGCAGCTAAGAGCCTTCAGGAAAGAGGAGCGCATGTCCAGGGGCCGCAGCCATTTGCTGTGGAGCTGGGCAGGGCTGTCTGAGTAGGGTGTGCGGCAGCTGTTGGTGGTGGTTGAAGTTAAGCTGGAGTGCTTTTGCAAGCCTGTATAATATTGCTCTACAATGTATATAGCCTACATAATTTTGACAGAAGAGTAGATACAGACTTGATGGGATTATAATTTTTGCAGATGAGGTTTACACTAATTAGCAATCTGTGACTGCTTCACCCATATCCTCTGACAAATTATTCTCTCCCCATAGCATTTCTATTTAATGGGAAGAGTACTTATGGTGGAAGAAGTATGCAGGCAAAAATTGTTGTAAACCAATAAGCAGAGAGCAATTTTTTTCTTTTTATGAAGTGCCTTTTCAAAAAAAGTAATAAAGTACTTTCTTATTATGTTTATCAGGAAACTACTTTACATGTCTCTTATCTGTAGAGAGATAAGAAAACAGAAGCACGTGCTATATAGGTTTCCTGTCATGAATATGGAAAGCTGGGAATAAATCTAGAACTGTGCTGCTTTGGTCCACAGCTTGAAGAAATTTAGTATGGAGGGCAGTTCCTTTTTCTGCTTTATCTACACTTAAAAAAAAAAAAAGAAATTAATGCTGTATTTTATAAACTAACTACAAGTAGAATAAAATTTGGTTCCTTCAGGACAAATACTCCTTGATGTCTGACCACTCGTCACTGTTTTCAGTATAAGCTTGAAGGAACCACTGCAACAGGTAATTTCTCAGTTTTGTATCGCTGTACTTGCAAACAGGAATGTCTTTAGAAACCCATAGCAAGCAGGATAAAGATTTTCATAGTATCTGCATATTTGCCTAAATTCTGTGGATTAATTGATTAAAGTTGTATCTTCAAAACGGTTAGCTAAAGGTCTGTACTGAGACCTGGAAAAGACTGTCAGTTATTAAATATGTGGAAAAAACATAAGAAAATAAGAAAAATAGGCTTGTGTTTTTATATTGTCTAAGAACAGAAAAACTAAAAGGGATCAAATTAGAAAATGT